AAAATTATATCAGATGTATTTGTTAATAATATCGAACAACTTGCATTTTTTGATAACAAAGTTAATTGTACTTTTTCTGAATTTAACATTTTTATTTGAAAAGTCAAATAAATATCACAAACTGAACGAAAATCATTTATATTCTTGGAACTTTGTAAACAAATTATTTTCAAATGAGAAGTTTTCGTTGTTGAATAATTTTTGAAATGATCTGAATGTTTAGTTGCTATTGATGTCAGATTTAGCTTTAATTTTAAATAATGATTATGAAATGTTGGTCGAAATGAAGTTGTTTCAATATGAGACAAGTGTTGTTGATACAATAAAAGTAATTCTTTCGATGATAATGATGAAGATAATGTCAATTCAAACGATTTATTTGATGTAAACGACGAAATATTTCTAACTGAAAACTGAATATTTACAGAATAATAATGTGGAAAATAGAAAAAACACAAACTAAGTATGATTAAACCAATAATATACTTAATCTGTTTCTTTGAAATCATTAATATTTGTTTAGCTATATTTAATGTATTGGGTATCATTATGAAATAATAATAATAGTTAGATAAATCTATAAAACTAGAATAAAAATAAATAATGAACTAAAACACAACTCAAAGTGAAAACTTTAAAGAAAAAAAAGGTGAAATGTGTTGTTTTATCAATAAACAAAATTCAGATAAAACAAAAGAAGAAATTAAAATGCATGAAAGTTTTTGTAACATATATTTGAATTAGACACCAAGTAAATCTTCAAGAAAAACAATCCAAAAAACTACAAAGGAATGAAAGAAGTTCTAAATATAAAGAACGTCTGATATATTTTAAATATTTGTTGATGACTATACGTGCATTGAAAATCAGATGTTTGAGTTATTTGTTTAAACATTCTTTTTTTCACTTTAATGATTATCTGCCGAACAGCAGAATGAGAGTAAGAATATGTGCCTGAGCCTTCACATCACTACTAGGTAACTGTACAAACAGAAAAAAGCAAAACGTCTTTACTTCACTGTACTTTACCATACTTCAAGTTATAAAATGCGCCGAAACACTATGGAGTGGTTTGAAGTGAAGAAATTGATTTTTTTCTCCTTATAGTTTTATGATTTGCGAGCACGTGTTCGATGAGCAATTGTCGTGAGGGAGGGGTTATGTATGCGAGTATGGGATGAATATAACACAAACACCCACAGCCTGCCACATCATATTAATTAGATGATAGTATCATCTTCACTTGAGCTATATAACGCTTTCCTATTCATGTGATACTTCGGCATTTTTAAATATTGAAAATATCACGAGAATATATATGTTATAAAAAAAATTTCGTTAATGTTTCTACTATTCGACATTTTCACATTTCGATGTTATTTGGAGGAATGATTATCTGTAACTATTTTAATAAATGTATTATTTCCACATTTATTGTTATTCCTTTACTGAGTAACAATAACAGTACATAGTTGTTTTAAAACGTATAGCTTGTGATGATTCATATATTAAATTTTAAAAATATTCTTATAGAATTTATTTTACTATTGAAAAATGATTTGTATTTTCTACATGAAATACTAAAACATCCATATTTACATATATTTCAATTTCTAAAATTTATTAATAATTATAAATAAAATGATTGTTGAATCTTATTTCAACTGATATGAACTTATTTTATATATAAAATAATATTGATATATTTTCTTTGATTTTTTTATTTCTATTTTGTTAGTAGAATTATAAAATAATAAATTCGAATAATTGAATGAATTATCAACAATCTCTTATTATTGTTAAATATTAATTTACTTTTTTTTCAACTTATCAAAAAACACAAAAAATAAACTAAATATTTGAATGATACATGAACTTCACTAAGCTCAAATGTTGTCATAGTTTTGTTTTTTATTTTCCAAAAAAAATCCTTTAAAAAAGAAGAAGAAGGAGGAGAAGAAGAAGAAGAAGAAGAAGAAAGTAATAGTTATTTAATCTATCCTCTAATCAATTGTCATACTTAAAAATAAACTACTATACAAGAAATAAAATTTAATCATTTCATTGTTTATAAAGAGGAGAGACGAGAAAATCTTATTTATTATAGAAGAATTTCTTTCTTTCTTATTTTTTTTTATTGAAAAACAGCATGTAAATATATCTAAATCATTTGTATCGAAGAAGTTTAAGATGAACATTATTTATTGTAAATGTTTCTGATCTTGGATCATTAATAATTTGTTCTTGTAAAGGATCAATTGGAATTTCTTTAGGATATTTTTGTTTTATTTTTAAGATTTTTGAAAGTGTTGGTGTAAGAACAAGTAATTTTGAAACTTCTTTTAAATAATAATGCATTTGTTTTGGTGTATTATTTGTAAGTGAAATATTTTGTAAAAAACAAATAACTCGATACCAATAAAGTCTTCTTCCATGTGATTCAACAAGATGATCAAGTTCTTCAAGTACTTCAGTACGATCAGTTAAATCATTTGTTGAAAGACGTTCTAAAACTAATTGACGAACTTTAGCACGAAGACGAGCTGAATGAATTTTAAGACGAGGATCAACACCTGTACATTCACCATGAATTGGAATAATACGACAATTATTTTGATTTAATTCAGGTTTTACTGATGTATCACTAATAACAAAGATTTAGATTTACAAAAAAATCATTTGTTGTTTTTTTACTTTGATTTCTTTTTTTCTCTATAATCCATATCTTGTTGATGAATAGTTGATGAAGATGGTGGTACATACGTAGCTGGTTGAACAATAGGAATAGTACTAGATGATTTATTTACATCTTTTAATTGATCACTAACTTCATCCATTGTAGCTGGATCTAATTGTGATGGACTATATGCTTCATCCTATAATAGTAATTAGAATAATTAATTTAATTTAATTTTAACAAATATTTACTTCTTCTTCATCTTCTTCTTCTTCATCTTCATCATCATCTTTGAGTAATTCTAAAATAGCTTTTGAATGTTGTCCACTTGATACTAATGTTGATTCTCTAAGTGATGCTTTTGGTTGTCGAATAATTCTTTGTTGTGTTTCAAGTTCATTATCATCTGATGGACTATAAGGTTCAACGTCTGATTGATCCGAATCATCAGGAACACCTAATCGTTGTGAAAGTGATGGACGTGAACGTTTTGTTGGAGATGAATATTCTCCATTTGATAAAATCGTATGTTTTTTAGTTGTATTCCAATTTGATTCTGTTGATGAATAAATATTCATTTTTTTAAAATTATTTTTTTTATCAAAACTATATTCGTTTATTCTTCCTCATAATCATATATATTATATCTTTACTTTCTTTTTGACAATCAATTTTTTCCAATTAGAATAAACGATTGTGGCGACATCAATCTATCTATGCATTTATCATTAACCTCCAAATATAATATTTAGAATAAAATATGGTTGAATAACATTGTTTCTTTGTCTTAGCGGTAATTCTATTTCTACACATATCCGTTATTGAATAAATTAGAAAAATGTCATCTACGAAAAAAGATAAAGAAAATAATTGGTCATCCGATGCATTACTTGAATTATCCGATCTTGCAAATGAACAATTACGTACATTGGAGCGACTTAATATTTCTCATATTCAAGCAAATGCTCAACAAGAACTTGAATCATGGCATTCAGCTGCTGTTGCACGTTTAGGTCAAATCTATTCACAACGTTTAGCAGATTTAGCTCAAGTTTATACACAAGATGTTTGTCCTGATTCAGAAAAATTTAAACAAAAAATGACTGATCAACTTAAAAATCGTATTATGCCGCGAATTACGAAAGTTCTCGATGATCCAATACCTGATCCAGAAAAAGTTGAAAAAATGCAGGTTTGTGTACAATACATAGAAATATTTCTTGAACATTCTTTTCTTTAATTATTTAGAATTTACTATGTCATATTAAATCAGAATGTGATATGATGCGTGATCGTCAATGGATTCGTGTTCAATTACCTGATATAAAGAGTTTATCAATTCCAATAAAAATTACTAAAACAGTTTTAGCAACACATTTAGCAAATCATGCTAAAGATTTATTAGATGATTTAAGTGATGATGATGATGCAGACGATAATAAAAAAGATGATGATTCACCAGCGAAAAAAAAACGAAAAACTGCTTCAATTGATGTTATTGATATATTTACATCAAGTCCTGAACCAATAAAAAATTATACATTAGATACAAATTCATCAACATTAGCTCTTTCAAATACTCATATACTTATTCATGATAATCATAAACTAATTTTATTTGATTATCAAAAACAATTAACTGATTTACCATGGAATGATAATGATTATGGTTAGTTTCTATCTATTTATCTTTATTTGAATTTTAATTTAATTGTGTATTTGTTTTTAAAGGTATTCTTGTTGATATGTGTTGGATGTCATCATTGTCTGTATTTGTAATTTTAACAATTCATTCTCTATATATATATGATCCAATAAAACCAGCACCAAATCTTCCAGTTAAAATTGAGTCTGTTCAACCATTAGATCGAACACATGTTTTAGCATCAATATCACCATATGAACGTGAAGTTTATATAAATTATCATAAAGGTATACATATTGATCATTATCGTGTTTCACCAACATCTCAATGGACATTAGAAAAACGTTATTCAAAATCCGATTATTGTGAAACAAAAGATATTGGTATTCGTGATGTTCGTTGTGATTCACAATATGTTTGTTTATCTGTAATGCAACAAAGTGATTTAAAATGGAGATTAGATATAATGTCACGTGATATGAAAAGAATACGACGTGGTATTGGCATGGATTCAGGTGAAAATCAACATAAATTTTTTTCAATGCTTGTACCACTTCATGATCAACGATGGTTATTTGTTAATTGGCATACAAATAAACTTTGGTTAGTTGATCAACAAGGAAAAACAAAATTAATTAAAGATAATAGAATAAAAAATATTCGAAATATTTGTATTGCTCCTAATGGTTGTTATATGGCTGTTAGAACCGAAAAACCATCAGCAATGAAAATGTATAAACTTGATTAAAT